GGTCTAAGAAGTTATAGCTAGTTAATTTTAAGTCAAAGTCGAGAGAGTGCACCTACACTCGCGTCCTATTCTTCTAAGGTCTGCCGTGTGTGCCGCGCGAAACTGTCGCATCATGCAGTCGACCCTTCTTTGTCTGTCTGCGGTGGTCCTTGGAGGTCAGTTATTCGCTTCATACGGGGTTTTTCCTCTCCATTCTTCTGTAATTTTTTGGCTTTACCGTGCTGTCTTTCTGCAGCGGCAGCGCAGAGCGGCACGCCGGAGAAGCCTTCCCCTATCCCTTCATCCTCTACACGTGAGTACCGTGTTCGTAGGAAAAAAAATTGAGTCGCATTCTTTCAAAAATTTCGTATAGAAAAGAAATCTATATTTTGGTGGAAATTCTCATTATTATGTCGGTACAGTTGACTTCGAAAGTTTATTGTGCGTTATTGATATTTTGCGGAATTTCTTTTGTAATGGAGAAAATTTCCGCTATAAAATATGGGTGCAGTCTTCAGCTGTTAGACACTTAGGGTGCTCGGCCATGCTTTGCTAAGTAGAACTGTGTCACCAAAGGAACTCCCAAAATTTGAGCTACCCGATCGCCAATGCGTCCGACCTGCCGGCGGACCCGTCTTTCGACTCCAACAAGCCCACCGCCCTCTACGTGCACGGCTGGAGGGAGTCCAACCAGAGCGAGAGTGGGGTGAATGTCCAGAGGAAAAATTTTTGGCCCGGGTCACCAAAAGCTACACGTTTAAAACCTTACAAAGTATTTTGAGCATACATAGTGCACACTCATTCAATTTGTTACTCGAAGAAATAGTTCGTACATCACGAAGTATTTACTTTGTTAGCTTATGTATGCTCAAAATACTTTGTTATAACAAGCTGCTTCTCTTTGTAGCTTAAAATAGTTTGTAAGGCTTTCACAGAGTACAATTTAAATGAACACTCTAAATGTCTTACAAGCAATATCTCTTCGTAATACGGATTTGTAAGATACAAAGTAAAACCTTCGTAATACTAAGAAAAATCACCTTCGTATTATGCTTGCGCCATTTCCGGGGGCGGCTCGTTTCTCCGGCGTGCGGTTCTCCGGTCGTATTTATCTATTTTTGTATATAAAAAAACTATGTTTACTATTTGTAAAAAGTTATGTATGTACATGCATAACAATGTTTGTATACTTATATAAGTTATGTAAATAGGGTATTTTAAAGTCAAATAAGATGTTAGTAGCAATGTAATGCAATACTTTGTGATTGAAGAACGTAAGAAGAGCAACATCCAATACATTGTTTAAACAAGTTTCACCTAAGATGCAACACCATTTGAAAAGTCTCTACTTCGCGCTATAGACACCGGAAGCCAGGCCACTCGGGCGTTTTTCGGCTCCGTTTCGAATGTGAATCTTTCCAGGGGACAGTTGACAGTCGCCATCACTAAACTGTAATGGCCGCAAACGTAAACAAGGTTCATGTCCATTCATTTAATCAATCAATTTTTTTTGGGCTAAACCGTTCCCGCGGCAACGAACGTCTATACCTCGGTGAGTGTTGTTTTTTTTAACAAAAAAATTTACTTGTGTGCGCCACTTGATCGCGTCTACTCGCCAGGGGTTACATGACGGGCGCCATTAGCAGTAGACAATTTTGCTTCTGCTGGGGTAACATTCGTAATATTTTTTCCCCAATGTCGTGTTCACTGCCTGGTTGGACTCTGTTTTAAATTTTAAAAAAAGTATTTAACAGCTCCTTTAATTCTAGTTTGTGTTTCATACAAGAGCCTTTTAATTCTTTCCCTTTTCCCTCATCGAACATGTATTATAAACCAAATAACCCTGCGTCACTATGTCTTTTCAGGTTCTCTGAAGGACAACATTGTCAAGAATTCGAAAGACCAGTCGCCAGAGTTCATCTCATCCTGCTAGGGATTCAGCTACATACTTCTTGTTCATTTAATTTTTTTTAAAATTTAAAAAATGTTAGTTCGGGTTGAAATGATGTTCTTCATTCCTTTTTCTCAAAGGCTGAGCAGAAGCCTAGAAAAAAAGCCAGATAATGAAGAAATGAAGGGTCTCTAATAAAGTCTGAGTTTCATGTTAGACTAAAACCCCCAAAACAGGTACTAAAGTTTGTTGAAAGCTGGCTTGCTGCTTGACAGGGTCGAAGCGCTGCTGGTGTGTTGAAAATGAGTGAGATTTTGATTGGACTCGGCTTGCCATGTCACAAGGAGATAGGGAGTGGGTTTTCTTAAATCAGTAATACGATGTTGAGAACATTTTTACTTAAATCTCATAACTTCTTAATACTTCAGAAACAGGTTAAAAGAAAACACTCGAAAACTATTGGAACACGTGGAAGCCATCACTTAGGGCTACAAGTCGAATAAAGAATACTTAGAACTCAACAGAGAGATCAAAATCATTAAGCTAAATATTTCAGAATACATGTCACAAAATCACTCGCAACTATTAGAACAATTGCAAGCCATCACTTAGGGCTACAAGTCTGGATAAACTAGGGGTACGCGCCGTTTAGTGTGGGCGCGTAGTGTGGCTGAGCGATGCGAATTCGTGCATTTCGGACTTTGCTTATGTAGACGAAATGTGCAGCTTGTGGGCTCATATTGAGTGAAATGTAGGTCTGGGGTATAAATGGAGGTGTTTTTCGTTATCAGCACAAAAAAAAACTGTTGGAATCAACGTCAAACTCGTTTCCAAAATTTTGGTCCTTAATTGGTTAAAATTCGGTAATGCGTGAGTCTAGGAAAAATTTGGAAGTCATTTTTGAGTTCAGCGCACCAAAAACTGCATGAAACAATATAAAACTCGATTTGAAAATTTTGGTCCAAAATGACCTAATTTGGGATGAAAATATAAGTCTGGAGTCAAAATGGAGGTGATTTGCGTTATCAGCACAAAAAAAACTGTTGGGATCAACATAAAACTCAATTCAAGAATTTTGGTCCAAATTTGGTAAAAATTTGGTAAAGTGTGAGTCGGGGAAAAAATTTTTGAAGTTATTTTTGAGTTCACCTCATAAAAACACTGCGGGAAAAACAATATAAAACTCGACCTGAAAATTTTGGTCCGAAATGACCTTATTTGAGATGAAAAATAAGTTGGAGTAGAAATGGAAGGGGGTTTTCATAATCAGCACTCCAAAAATCAATATGAGATTCGATTAAAAAATATTGATATCAAATTGATCAATAATGGGTAAAGAATGGGTCGGGGTTTGGTCTTCATGGATCCCCCTTTTGGTCGTCACCAAATACCTTGATGCCACACCAATGCGATTCCTTCAGTCAAGTAACATTCCATTGCCAGCATTGAATCGCTTAATTTGCTATTAGTCTGCTTGACTCACTATTGGATACATCATTTTTTTCCAACTAATGAATTCACAAATTTATTAGTTATATTTGAGAGGCCCTTTTTTCATTCTTTCATTTTAAACGAGTGAATTAAACAATATAGACTGGAATATGTAATCATAGTTTTCATTAAGTGACTCAGTTAAGGGCAGGCTGATCTGAAGCATTCGACCGAGAACAAGTTTTGTCAAAATTTAGTGAATCGTCTCATGAAGTCAAATGCAGAGGCCACTTGTTGCTCAATACGCCAACATAATTTACCTTAATCATGCCTCGTGATATTTTATCTTTGGAGTAAAAGAATACAGTAAAACTATTAACATTGGGCTTACATTCAGAGAACCAGCTTCTAAACCATTACCAATACTTGGTTCCAGTTGTCGGACACAAACTTTGGTGAAGTGAAAGCAATCGTGTCATTAAATCCAATTACCAAGTCACCCACCGCTCAAAACCTGAATCGTGTCATTGAACCCAATATCAATTCAAAATCTATTAGCACTAAATATATGGATTATTTATTCCACTAAATACATGTATTTTTGGATTCTTTTAATCAATAGATGTTAGTACTAGAATATTTTTGTTAGCTTGCAGCATTGCAATAGAATGTCATTTCCCGAGACAAACCAAGACAATTAACATGTCTTCTAATTTCAACGCATTTACCTGATTTCATTTACTATGAAATTTTAAAAAAAAAGGATAGTTTCAAAGAGAATAAAATCAGTAGATGCCCCAAAGGCAAAGGAAAAATTCTATTTACAATCCAAAATACACTCACAGTGCACTGACCTAAAGGGAAAATTCCCCCGTGACGGGGGAGGGGGGGGGGAGGGGAACGAAACACGCAAACCATTCTCACATTCAGTTTTCGTATTTTCCCTGTTGGAAATCCGGGAAAGGGGTTTTAATCATTCTAGAATGTTAAAAAACTATCTCAGAACCTATTTGAGAAACCCCCTTTTCTCTTTAGTTTGTTTATTTGCATATGTGCCGTCCCGTCTTGCAGACGGCTTGCAAGCGCGGCAGCCGGTATGAGAAATTGGTCAGCCACACACTGCTACCAACCTAACCACGCTAATTACCTAGTTCAAAACGATGTTTGGAATATTTCAAACGATGATAATTGTTAATCTGAGATAAACCCCCCCGTAGGATGTTTAGGAGACAACCCGGTGTGAAATTTGATACTTTTCGTTCAGTAGTTGCTGAGAAACGTGAGTGATTACATACAGACAGAGAGACGGACAGACAGACTCACGACCAGTCACTTTTTGGAGCGCCCAAACACGGCAAGGGCTTCGCTATCGCTCAGCCAACAATACTTAAAACTCAACAGAGAGATCAAAATCATCAAGCTAAATTTTTCAGAATACAGGTCACAAAATCACTCGCAACTATTGGAAAAATTGCAAGCCATCACTTAGGGCTACAAGTCTGGATAAACAATACTTAAAACTCAACAGAGAGATCAAAATCATCAAGCTAAATTTTTCAGAATACAGGTCACAAAATCACTCGCAACTATTGGGAAAATTGCAAGCCATCACTTAGGGCTACAAGTCTGGATAAACAATACTTAAAACTCAACAGAGAGATCAAAATCATCAAGCTAAAGATATCAGAATACAGGTTAAAAGAAAACACTCGCAACTATTGGAACAAGTGGAAGCCATCACTTAGGGCTACAAGTCAGAATAAAGAATACTTAGAACTCAACAGAGAGATCAAAATCATCAAGCTAAATTTTTCAGAATACATGTCACAAAATCACTCGCACCCTTTAAAAAACAAAGAGTGAAAGAAACGAAAAGAAGGTAAGAAAATAGATACAGAGATGTACAGTTAGGAAGAAGAAAACTAACGTGTCCGGAGACTTAAATTGTTTGGCTAGGGGTTTGACTATTGAATGGTTACTCTTCTCCATCGACTCTGGGTGGCGTTAGTGTGAGGCGCCTGGAGGCCACTGGTAGGGTAACAGATCACCAAGGGGTGTTAACCCTTGGCTTCCTCCAGGCCCCACCCCGGAGCAAGAGCCCGAATGCCTGCTCTAGGGGAAGTGAATCACCTTCACTTATGGACCCCCCACCCTAAGGTTAGCGAGCAGGACTTTGAAATTTAACAGCAGTTCGTGATCGTAAGTAGTTCAAGAGTTAAAGACTTAAAAAAAAAATATTTTAAAAAAATCAGCCAGTTCACTTGCAGACTATCAAGGTGACAGCCTGCAACTAAACTGACTGCATAGGGTTCCCTAAAAAGTGCTGCTTTGAAGTAATTTGGAAGAGATTAATTTAGATTAGGCTGCCAAAGATGAGATTTTAAACCAGAAAAGGCCCCTAGCCACCCTAACACCCTAACTGCACATCCCTGATCAAAGATATAAGCAAGTTATATTAGGAACCTCCTAGCCGGTGAAGACTTTGTCATATTTTCTAAAGTTGCGCTGACACACAGCGCACTTGGAGGGACGAGTTTGCATCATCCTTCTGACACATGCCAAGCAAAACATGTGTTTGCAGCGGAGAATCACCTCAAACCTGCTTGACAAGCATACCGGACAACTGTAGCCAGGGGGGAGGTCGGGATCAGCAGGCGGAGTTGCTGGTTCCTGAATAGCAGCAGGGGCAGCAGGGGCCGCAGTAGGTTCATTAAAGAGAGTTGCAGCAACCGGGGGTGAAACCGCTGCTGCCCAGCTTGGGCCAGCAGCCTGTTGAGCCTGAGACGCACAGCTTGGGCCTGGTGCTGCTGTAGATGTAGTGCTCCCTAGAAAAGTAAACATACGTTAATCATCGATGTCGATTGGATCACAGAGCCAAGACACAAATGAGGGTTACACTTACGGAATTTGGCTAGCAAAGCCCCTAGGTCTTTAGAAGAGTATCCACTAGAAGTGCCACTGGAAGTACCACTGGAAGTACCACTGGAAGTACCACTGGAAGTACCACTGGAAGTGCCACTGAAAAGGCCACTGAAAAGGCCACTGAAAGTGCCACTGGAAGTGCTACTGGAAGTTCCACTGGAAGCTCTTCCTGCTAAGGACAGAGACCTCTTGGGTCGCGGCACAGTAGGAGGCAAAATTGGCCCCATGGCCCTTGGTGGAAGGAAGTCCGGTTCATCTGGTTCATCCATGGCCGTATCTTCATCATCATCAAAATCTGTATTTAGAACATACAGGTTAATTTTCAACTGCAGTCACAGGCAATATTTGGAAATAAAGCTTGTATTCTGACTATACAAACCCATCAGATAGTTGAAGTCTGGGGAAGGGGCTCGGACTGGAGAGTTCTTAGGTGTGGTAAGATCAACAACAGCCGCTGCCTCGTCTTGCCACCCAGGGTCAACTGACGATTCAGCACTAGATGATGTAGGCACTGCTGCAGGCGTTTCAGCCACAGTTGCTGTAGGCGCTGCTGCAGGCGTTTCAGCCACAGTTGCTGTAGGTGCTGCTGCAGGCGTTTCAGCCACAGTTGCTGTAGGCACTGCTGCAGGTGAGTCAACCACCTCCACAATCTTGGAATGCTTTTTCTGCACTGGGGCCTGGACTGAGGTGTGGGTTGAGGGTGGTGGCACAGGCAATCCCAGCCCTTGCACTGTAAGCAAATCAAAATGAGTGAACGCCAACAGAAGCAATAGAATAAACAAAGAGAATGCTCAGCTCAGATCCTAAAACTTACAGAAAGGCATCAAAGCATTAAAAGTGTTGTCTGAAGAGGCACCAGAACCAAGACCTGTAATGTAACAAGGATTAAACATGGAACTCCAACATACTTCAAACTGATTAAGAACGGAAAGTGACACAAACCAAAAAAGTTGAATACAACTGACGGAGGCACAGCAGGCTTAGAGACCTCATTTGAAAACTGCTCGGTTGAGGATTTCCGTGATGTCGCGTGAGACAGAGCCAAAGACCTTTCAATATTCTGCTCCGGATGAGTCCAAGTAGGCTTGTTGGGCTCTGACATGGCAAGTTCTACAGAAGGCTGAGTCAAATGAGGCTCTCCAGAATGCTCAGTTGAAGTAGGCTCTCCAGGATGCTCAGTTGAAGTAGGCTCTCCAGATTGCTCAGTTAAAGTAGGCTCTCCAGATTGCTCAGTTGAAGTAGGCTCTCCAGAATGCTCAGTCGAAAGAGGCTCTTCCGAAGGCGTAGTCATAGACTTGGCCTCAGCAGCCTCTGGCAGAATCGGGGGATCTTTCGAGGGTTGGTTCAAATTTACAGCAGCTGCGGCAGATTCAGCAGCTTCCCTTGCCTTCTTCCGTGCCAAGCAAGCTTCAAGCATCTTCTCCCGAACACTTTTAGAACTGCTGAACAAAAAGAAAAGTGTAACTAATTAGATGGGTCTTTGATGGCATTTGACAAAACTTGACTTGTTATAATAACGTAAAACAAAATCAACGGCTAACTTCGTTGTAAGGATCTCATTAGCACAAGGAAAAGCGCTCTAGTGTCTGTGCAACAGTAACACCAGCATGAGCACGAGTTCGGCTTAGTCACGTTTTGGCGCCATTTCTGACAAAGACACTATCACAAAGAAACTGACCATTTTATGTCGAGGTTCACAGCAAATTACTCGTTTTATCTTAGAAAAGCGCCATTGCATGTGCAAGAAGATGCCTTAAGGCACATGTGTTGGAATTAAATCAATCAAATCATTCAAAATGCAAGGGAGCCACGTCAAAGATGGCGGCTCTCCGAGAGTTGGGAGGGGACGCCGAGCGGCATCCGCAAGAAATTGACGAAATAATTGAAATTGCTTATTAGTAATGGGATTGCTGTGAGTCTGAACCGATCACACATTGATTTCTAACACTAATTCTGATACGCCAGGTACTTACTCCATGACTAGATGATGTTGATGACGCCCCGACCAGACCACACACAGAAGTACGTGTCTCTAATCCTCACGAGCTCACGACGGAATGGCGCGACACCGCGAAGCGACCTCGGATCTCTCTGCCGAGTGGCAGTGCAGAAACATGACAAAGCAAAAGTCTCTCTTCAACGGCTCATGTTCACGGAAAGTTTTTGAGCAGAGAGAAGAATTTATAAAAAGAGATGTCAGATATATTTTCAGTGTAATTTTTCTCGACGAAAAGACTCTTATTTAGCATTTAAATATTTGAAACAGCTTCTAGGACAGGATTTCATTTTGTGGAAGTTTGAGCTCTTGCACTTCTATCTAAGTCAAGATGAGGACTAAATTACCATTCTTTGGTAGAAATGATGCTTGAATAAGAAAGCTTCCTAAAAAATTACTAGAATAAAATAGAATAAATATTAGTTTTGACCATCCTTTCTTGTATTTTCTCGCTGAGAGGATGTTTCAATGGTTTCAATTCATTCACTGCTGGACTCAAGTAGTGCCCGGGAGTGGTCGGGGGGTGGGGATGAGCCATCGCAAGTGGCAGCAAGCGCAACAAGCAGACAGTTGTATGGAATAGTTGAACGCACTCTACCTTTTTTTGGCGCTCAAAAGTTGTTACTATATGCCTCCCTTGTCTGGGCAGTGATGTAAGTAGTATTTTATACTAACGTGGACAGGAGCATGCGACACGATAAAGCTAAATGCTTAAATAACTTTTCTTTTCTCTTTGGTAGCAGCCTTTTGTTATGGACATCCAAGTAGTCGCCGGCAAGCGGGCCGGATCATACCTCTACCACTGCGGTGATGGTTACCACTGGTGTGGGTGAAAATCGAAACTTCTACACCACTTGGCTGTGGTGGTTCAAACTTTAGGGCGTTTAAGTACTAGGTAGGAAACTATTCCATACCAAATTTCATCCAAATCTACCCACCCATTTAGCCACAGTAGGCTTTTTTCATTGAAATTAAGCGGTTAGTAGAAAAATCAGCCACGCAAAGTTTTTTAACGGAAAGGTCTGAAATTTGTTTTGGAGTTACCTAAACCCCTATACTTCAATGTAACAGAGAGACATTTGTATTTTATTTTTTGTTTTGACTGAGCAAACTTCACAATTTATTAATTGCAAAAAATAAGTTTTTTTCTCCATTTTTTACAACTTTAAGGTAAACGATTAAAGAAAGTGGATAGATATTTGAAATATCTCTCTGTTACACTGTCACATGGACCACAAAGAACCACTCCAAGAAGTATGGTCAGTATAAAACAAAACTGTATGCGTGGCTAGTTGACGGAGTAGAAATTTTTTTTTTCGACACTTGTCGCAAGAGTTGGGTGACAAGAAAAGGCGCATGCATACATCAGTCCATGTTAGATGAACCACTCACTTAGGGTTTCATAACAAAGACATTTAGAACATGCTGTCGGTGATAGAAGAATATTTTACATTAAAATAACAAGTGGATTAATTTTATTATTTTAATCAATTTTGGAGCAAATTTTCACCCACACCTCACCTTAACAAAGGGAACCGAGACGCTGACAGTGATCTATTCTACCTAAGATGCAAAAACTTTGACTCAAGAGGGTGCACCGGAGCAGCTCGCATAAGTATCGGAGAACGAGGACCAGTCTGGGTCAATTTGAAAGCCCATATCTGTGCACCTAACCCTACTCACCACTTGGTGCTCAATTTGAGGAGAGAAATCCTGCAGGAATCAGTCAACCAGTTTGGGCCTTATGAGACTCCTGGACAAGTTGTCAGTAGGGTTAGAGCAAGGTAAAATTTGGTGCACATTTCAGATACTCATTTTGCCTTTGTCAGAATGGATCTTTATGTGTTTTACATTTATGTTGCAGACACCATCCCAACGTTGCATACCAAGTCACTGGGAACAGTATGAGAAGTTCTATTCGACGCCAAAGGATGAAAGTCACTGGTGTAAATGCCGTCAGGATTTTCTGATTGAATTTCTGATTTCCAATCAGAAATCAGGATTTTACTGATTGATTTTCTGATTTCTGATTGTCAATCAGGAATTCTTTCTGATTTCTGATTGTCAATCAGAAAAAAATCCTGATTGAGTACCGACATCAGAAAATTCCTGATTTCTGATGTCTGAGTGCCAATCAGAAATTTCCTGATATTTATTTGATTTCTGATTGGCAATCAGAAAATTTCTGACTGCTTTTCTGATTGCTGATTGCCGCTCAGAAATCAGAAAAGAACATCAGGAAATTTTGATGGTGTCAAAGTACAGATGCCTATAAAATGGAAAGTATTTGCGATATCGGTTTCAAATTTGGTATGTGACATGTTCAGCCGATTTGACTAGGGCCATTTTAATTTCATACACCTCGGATCATCTTTAGTAGCATATCGAGGCCTGATCACGAGCTATCGAAAATCGGACTTCAGATTTGGATCGGACTCAGTTTTGACCCCCCAGAGAAGTTATCATCAATTTTGAATGTGCCCCGGCACGGTCATATTACCGATGTTTGAAGTTGTCTTACCAATCAGAACTGTCCACTCAGAAAAAAACACAATCAGAAATAGTCAATCAGAACTGGTACCAATCAGAAATCATCAATCAGAGGTGCGCGAAAATACATCAGGATTTTCCAATCAGAAAATGTCCTGATTGACCAATCAGGAATTTCCTGATTGAAATCCTGATGAATTTTACACCAAAGGTATCCCCCAGTTCCTGGATCCCTCTACCACTTGAGTGAGGTGCTAGCCGACAACATGCACCTGACTCGTGGCATGGATGGTGTCGACAACATCTATGCAGGTGCAGTCCTTGGAGCAAACGGCACCTGCTCGGTTATCTTCTCATCCAGAAGAATGAGGCGCTACATGGCGAGGTGCCGTGTCGTTTTTTGTGATGGCACATTTGATAGTCGGCCCAATGCTCCTCAATGCGCTCAGGTGTTGCAGATAGTCGGTGTAGTGGGAAACTCAGTAAGTTCAGTGAAGAGATTGCTTTGGGTTTTTGCATAATAACAACTACTTTTACAATACGAGTTATCCTTCTTTGCAGGCCATCCCTCTTGCACAGATTCCGATGACTGGAAAGACCCAGGCTGAGTATGTGGCTGCTTTGACCAGGCTCAGGCAACTTGTTCCTCGTTTTCGTCCAAATTTGGTCGTTACCGACTTTGAACTGGGTTTGCAAAATGCATGGCGTCAAGTATTCAATACGCATGTGTCTGGCTGTTACTGGCATTTTTGCAGGGTATGTTCTTTTAATCAAATGTATCAAACTAATATGGCACGTTTTGTATCTCATGTTTTGGCAATTATTTTTGACCACTTACAGGCAGTTTCCTGGGCGGCAAAGCATGATCTGGGCCTATACCGTCTTCTGCGCATCAACAGAATTGCACGGAGTATTGTAAGAGCCTCTTTGGCCATTCCATTGCTTCCTCACAATCTCATGGCAAGAGGACTACGCACCTTGATCATTGAGGCTCATAGAGCTGGTCTCCTGGATGATCTGGCAGCATTTTTCAACTACTGGATAGACACCTGGATGTCACCTGCTTACCTATAAGGTCCCTCTCAGTCTATGGAGTAAGACACCGAACCAACAACGTCTCTGAATCCAGCAACAAAAGACTTAGGTCTCTCACAGGAGTGCACCACCCCAGCATCTGGCACTTTCTCAGTAAGATTCAATTTTAAAGTTATCTTTTGCTCATGACACTGTAGTCATTAGGCAATCTCCTATTTTTACATTTTTTTTCTCTTTCTAGATGCTCTGAGGAGATATGACCATGATGCTCTCCTCACTCTGAGAAGATTGAATGCAGGGCTACCCATTGGAAGAAAAAGGAAAATTTCTGCTATTAACAATGATCTTCGAATCCAAAATCTCACTCTGAATGTTATGAGAGGGCACATCAGCATCAACAGGTTTCTTCACCTGGCATCGACCAGGGTGATGCAAGTATTTGACAGGGTTGTGGCTTAAACATTATGAGATCTTGGAATCTGATGATAAGGCACATTAGAATTCTGCAATTTTTGCAACCTGTAGCCGCCTATGACATGACAATAAACAATGTTCCCAACCTGTGTATTACTTATTTTATTTAAGAAATGCCGAGTCCAATTTAAGTCTCTTAGAAATACTCCAGCTCTGCTGTGACTATATATCAAACAAAAAGCCAGCTTTCATGAGAAATGTTTCTTTGTTTTGCAACTATGACTCCAGTACTGCACTTGGTACCTTCAGCAGACACATTATTAGTCATGTTTTGCTTTGACTGATTTTTCTTATTTCTTTGCTAGCTTTCAACTTAACATGAAGAGAGGCTGAGAAAATGGAATCATGAGTTTAATCAAAAGTACACACTGATTTTATTGAAAATTTTTAAACAAGACATTTAAATAATATCAAAACATGGTTTTTAACTCAAATTTAGTTTCTAACATGTTATGGAGCAGATAACAGTTGTATAATGTTGTTTTATTTTGCTGTTATGGTAATAGTAATTTAAATGCTTTCCAAGTTTTTTTCATGCCTGCATCAATATATTGTTTCTTAAATTTTCAACAGTGAAAATATCTAAGAGTATTTTTATTTATTCCTGATTCAGGCTAGTTTTTTTAATTACATTGGCAATTTTTAGGATTAAAATTAATTACCTGTTATACTTGCCAAAAAATAATGAAGAGACTTAGATCAAAATGAACTCTAAAATTAGGTGTTTTATTACAGAACCACCAACACTTGATAAGAAGGAATGCTACATAACTATTATCCTATGATGGGTTCTAATGTTTCAAGGCAGGCCAAGGCCGGTGCAAGGTGTTAGAGGTCTCGTATCTCGTAGTATGGAGGGAGCTGCGCTGTGTTCCTGGCGGATCGTCGATTGAGCTCGACCATGAGAGAAGGGCGCCCTTCTCTCATGGCTCGACAAAGCATACATATTTGGGTGGTAGCACAGCTTTGCCTTGCTGGGCCGCACCCGCGGCTCTGCAGGCACCATGGGGTTGGTCTCGACATTGCGCAGAGCTTGTATGGATCCGCGTGCTTGTGATTGGCAACGCCTTGGGAATGTCACAGGCCCCTTTCCGCCGCCACCTAGACAGTAATCCTTGACTAAGCGAAGGGCGGACTTCCCCCCCTTCCGACGATAGGAGCCTGGAGCGCCGGGGAGGTACACTGAGAATGAAAAAGTCATGATCAATACCCAATTTTTGGGGGAGGTTTCTTTCTCACCCCAAATTTTGGGGGAGGAAATTTCCCCTCACCCAATTTGGGCGAGGAGAGCTTCCTCGCCCAATTTTGGGTGAGGAAGGGTGTATCAGATGCCTTATAGCTCCATAGTATTATGACCCAAATTTGGGTGAGGAAACTTTCCTCACCCAAATTTGGGCGAGGAAAATTTCCTCACCCAAATTTGGGTAATAAAGAATTCCTCACCCAAAATTTTAGTCATGATCATGACTCTTTCATTCTCAGTGTAGGCAAGACAGCGCAGTGGCGTTCGACTGGTTGTCTCCTCGCCGGTCCCACAGGGCATTCGCGCTCCTCGGGCAGCGGTTGGCGTGTTTGCGTGGGTTGGGGCTAAAGAGGCCTCGAGACCCTCTTTCTCCTCGCTGGTTAGTGCCTGGTAGGAAGGTTCGTGTGTTCCTCTCGCGCTCATGGTGTGTCCCGTATTGGTGCGAAAGAGCCACAGCATTGAAACGACTCTTCATGTCAGAGTGATGTTTGGCTTTCCACTAAGTGTTTTTTTTGGGGAAATGACGCCGCTCCTGTCACTCCGATAGTGACTGTCAATGCATCTCAACAGGTGCATCGCCCAGGCACGCGAACAGCCACCGCATTCAAGTCCGGTCTGTTGAGAGCCTGTTTGCCGGCCGCGAACCATGCGCTAACCAGCAAGGCGAGAGAGGGAAGGGAGTTGGACACTGCGGCTTAGTCTCTTCTACTCCTTCCCAAGACCGTGGGGAGTAACAGGGAAGGACAGGAAGGCCACATGGGCCTCAAGGGGCACTGCATTCTCACCCTCCATCTTCACTTCTCGCACTTTATCGCCAGCGGCGAGGCGCAGGCACCACCTGGTTGGGCTTGAGCTTCTTGGGCATGACGCTGCTTCCGGTGGCGCTTGACTTCGTGGTGGACTTGCGCCGCTTATTTCCCACAGGTGGCACGCCTCTGTCCTCGCGCAGGGCACGGTAGACAGGCGGTGCCCGTCGCGCTGTAGGCCGCGACAGTCGCGAGGGGAGATCTGGGTCCCTCGCTTCCCGCAAAGGAGGCAGCGGGACAGGCTCGGAGAAGTCCTCCGCGATACACTCTCTGTAAGCAAATTTAAGTTTGGTCACATAAGGGCATTCCGCATAAAGGGCCTTGCTACTAAGCACCATCTCACGGCGTAGAAATCGCATCCCCTTCTTTTTCACTTGGGAAAGAAGAGTCGGAACGGCTTCAAAACCCCCAGTCGCACTAGTGCTTACTGTAGTGCCCAAAATCAACCAACTCACGTTTATAGTCGCGGAGGTAAAAAAGTGAGCTTTCTAGCTCCCGCCTGCGAGCCCCCCAGTAGATTTCTTGAGCGATGGCCTCAGCAAGGTCGTCCTACAAACATGTGAGCCTCATTTAGTCGTGGGGCACGCCACCCTGGGCCACGAATAGTGACTGACGCACGTACGTCCAGGAAATCCACGCAATTGTCGATGGACACTGTAGGTGCCGTCGGCGTTGGGCTCAGCCTTGATCCGGCCATGCTGCGCAGAGCTCGTGTAGTTTTCCCGGTGCTCGTGCTCGGCAACGCTCCCGGGTTGCGACAATCGCCAGTTCAAGTCACCACCTTGAGACAAAGGGAATGGACACGCCAGAAAAGGCGGACTTCCCCGTTGGCAATAGCGGCCCATAGCCTGCGTGGCTGCGACGTGTGGTTGGTTGCCTACTCACCACGGCGGTTGCCGCAAAAGAGCCGAGAGGCTCAAGACCAGGACCAGGCGGCTAGCGAGCGGGCCGGGTGCAGCTGGTCGCACTCGCACAACGCCCCCGCATGCCAGGTGCGTGGTGGGGCGGAGATCCGTGGTAGTCTGGATGCGGTGCCAGAGCCCTTCATGAAGTTCTCCGGGCTGGTACGTGCTTCCCCAATGGGAGTTCTGCACAGAGTCCTGGCCCTGGTTTTGAATGCCGCTCGGCTATACGGTGCCTCGAGTAAAAAAGGCATGGGGCTTGCCCGCACTTGCCCGTAGCGCAGCCACTTGACGACGGGGTGATGCAAGCCGAGTTACCCTCGCCCGCCCTCGCCAGTGTACGCCATGCACGTTGGTCACCGCCTTGTCCGTGAGCGCTGTAAACGACGCGCGCGTCTCTCAGAAAGGCCTCTCGAGAGTTCCACTATTGTCGGAGCCGTTGTGGGCATAGCTCTCCAGGAGATGACAGACAAAAGGATGTGGGGTCAATCTAATATTCCAATATTACATAAAACACAAAGTAATTTTGCCGTTTAATCCATCAACATCGGGCGCAGTGGCGGCATGTTCCCCACTCGCAACAGTGCTGCCATCTACAGGTGATTCAAAAGGAGTAAAACAGGAAACGGTCATGGGGCGACTAACACGAGAATGCTTCCCAGCGTGTTTCCGGCTTTGTGTCTTGTACTAAATTGTTCTGAGGATTCTGTTATCCTTCGTACGTACTGAATTCTTTCAACCGTCTAACTTCTAAATCAATCTCCTTAATCCTAAAGTCGACATGAATTAAGTGTAGGGAAAGGCGTCACTGAAGGTTCTCATGATTACGTAACCAATTCGCGATCCATCCGAAATGATCGTCTTTCTGTTCGAGCGCACCTTAGCTTCGTCTTCAGTGAACATTGTTTCTTATTAAACGATCAGGAACTGGTTACCTGCGAAAAACACCACGATTATACTAGCTGGTGTCTCATTATTAGTTCCTGTTGAGTTCTTGTGCGCAACTTAGTTATTCGCGGTGGTTCCCCCTGTGTTTCTAGCTCTTAACCTCCAAACATTGTGTTTCAGTGCTCATGAAAATTAGGGGGCGTCATACTCAGGTGACCTTCGATTTCAGCATGCGGGTGTGACTCAAAATTTTCGTTTTTTAGTGCTGAGTTCAGATTCGTGTCGGGTTTTGCGATCGGACTGCGTCTTGATCACCCTACCCGACGATTTATGTCAAAAAGCGGCGAAAATTCGTTTTTTCCCATTGTTTTGCCCCCTTGAGTTCGGGGTGGCGGTTTCTCGACCAGATCGCCTTCACTCACTCTAGACACGACTCTTCCAACCACCAGAGTCCATGTGAGCCACCCCATTTGGAGCCTAGGCCTCAAAACATGCCAAAATTTGGTGAAAAAAATGAAAATTTTCACCGTTTTTTGACATTTTTGAGCCATTTTGAGCCCCACATCGCCCCCTTAGGTGACCTGTATGGGAAAAAAGGAGGAAGGGTGTGTAGGAAAGGCAGCGCAGCGCCGGGGCATCGCCCGGGGTGTCGTGGAGGGCGGCTTTGAGTCGGCAAAAACAGGATTTTTTCGAAAAATTGAAGAAAATGGTCGAAGCAGCCGCTTTAGCTGCGGCAGCGAATGTGCAGGTCTTAGCTCGTTAAGCAAGTTTGCTGTGCCTACCCAGGGCTCACCACGGGGAGTTGCCTGCACGTCGAGCCCCGCCCGCCCACCCGACCGGGCGTAGCGTTTAGCTGCGTTTAACGCTGCTTTATCGGCCATCGAAATACAAAGCCTCTGGTTGAGAGCACTCCGCCAGACCCGCAGCATTGACTCCTCCCATGACCCCCCATTTTTTTCAATTTTTCGAAAAAATCCTGTTTTTGCCGACTCCAAGCCGCCCTCCACGACACCCCGGGCGATGCCCCGGCGCTGCGCTGCCTTTTCTACACACCCTTCCTCCTTTTTGTCCATACAGGTCACCTAAGGGGGCGATGTGGGGCTCAAAATGGCTCCAAAATGTCGAAAAAACGGTGAAAATTTTCATTTTTTCACCAAATTTTGGCATGTTTTGAGGCCTAGGCTCCAAATGGGGTGACTCACATGGACTCTGGTGGTTGGAAGAGTCGTGTCTAGAGTGAGTGAAGGCAATC